ATCAAAAAACAGCAACATAAAAAGATAGATAAACAAATAGATAGATAGATAGATAGATAAATAAATAAATAAATAAATGGATAGAGAAATAGATAGATAGATAGATAGATAGATAGATATAGATAGATAGATAGATATAGATAGATAGATAGATAAGAAGATAGATCGATGGATGGATGGATGGATGGATAAAAAGACAAATAGACAGACAAACAGACAGACAGACAGATAGATATATAGATAGATAGACAGATAGATAAATAGACGGATAGACGGATAGACGGATAGACAAATATATAATCTGATTGGTTAATAGCTGGGTAGGTACCTAAATAACAAGTGGATGAATGGAAAGATAAATAAATAGATGGATAGGTAGGTGGATAGACGACAAATAGATCAGTAGGTAAATACACCGATAGATGGGCACACTACAAAATTACATCGCATCAAACTAATTTTGAATAGATTACATATTATAAGGTTCAGATTGGATTATATAAACTGGATTGTTGTATGAAAATTTGATTACATTGAATCATGAGATCAAAGGGACAAGCAGGCTGCATGCGTACGAGTGCACTCGGTGCGCTGCAGGCGTGCACTCGGTGCACTCGGTGCACTCAGTGCACTCGGTGCGCTCGGTGCACTCGTTACACTCGGTGTGTCGGTGCACCCGGTGCACTCGGTGCACTCGGTGAACTCGGCGCGCTGCAAGTGTATTCGGTGCACTAGTTGCACTCGATGCACATGCGGTGTAAATGTACTTGGTGCACTCGGTGCACCCATTGCGCGCGATGTGCACAGTGACTGATCGGGGCCGCAATGAAATGTTCCGTCGAAGAATTCGTGAATATCAGAATGTCATATACCATCTGTGCTGGTCGAATCTGTTTCTATGACTCACCAACATGGTCATCACAACATGCCGGCACGACATGAAGTACGCAACACACGGGGGAAAGCAATGCTTACTGTATTCGTGGAAGTCTTTGGTCGAGTTGCAGGTGGTGTTGAAGCAAATGTAACGGAAAAGATGGTGCTGATGCGGACGGCATCGGTGCGGGTCATGTTTGGGAAGAAAACCATCCACGAATGAGTGCTAAAAAATGTCATCGACATGTCAATGGGTCATTTTGACAAACTTGGCAACGCACTAGTTTTACAATGCTGCCGCAAGGTCGGGAGGTCAGCCAACCAAGCAGTTGGCAACCCGTTGCTACTTTGAAGCCTAAGAAGTCGAGTGGAAACTGGTATGCCGGACTGGCTATTTCACAGGCGTGAAAATGTTCTATGAAATAATCGAACAAATTGATGAAACCTACGCGACTCGCAACGCATAAAAAGAAAGGAAATCTAACAATTCATTTCTGCAGAAACCGTCCTCAAGAACCATCCATTTGCCAAATATGCAATGTTTTTCTACCGGCAGTACATAAATGGTTTGACGCCCCACGCATGCAACGAATATGCAGCGACGACCGTGGCGCCAACGACAACATAAACCCACAACAGAACGCACACCACCCAACATAAAGGAAAAAAAACGTGCAAAAAAAAAGTGTCTAAATGTACTGCGATAGCCATTGCTGTCAATTTTGGGCTGCCGAAAGCCTTGATGAATGAAATGTTTGGAGGGAGAATGCCTTCAGTTGATCAACCCACGTTTGGGTTTGCTGGTAGCAAAGTGCTGATCCGACCGTACAACATAATGGGAGTGATCACCGTATCAGAAACCTCGTTTGTAACCACAAGGACACATGACATGGTATTTTTCTATGTTGATTGAATTTCATCTCAGCAATGTGAATGCCATGTTTCATGCTCTGTTTCATGTTTGTAGACGCTCCTGCCGCCGGGGTTCCAACATTTTTGTTGCCTACACACGGTGCACATCGGTGCACATCGGTGCACATCTGTGAGTCTGTGCACTGTCTTGCACATGTTGTTCGTTCATTGTTCGTTCCATGTTGTTCCTACTTTGTTCCTGTCGCCGTTCAGGTTCAGTTCGACTCAGTGTGGACGTCTCATCCCGCAGCTGAGAGTTTTGCCACTGTAGAACTCCCATTTCAGGGCAGCGGAAATGTGGTTTGGATGGTTTTGCATGCGAGTAGCCGAGGATTTGACACAATGCAATGTATGTGGTCTGATGTCACATGATGAAATATCCAAGCAAAATGGCACAACTGACACCAACAGTGAGGGTCTCTCCTGGATATCAGTGGCACCTTGAAATTTTGCAGGACTTTGCAGGCACACTATATGACAACAAGCAGCAAAAATATGCGACAACAAGAGCTCCTTCAAACAGCATCGCAATCATTTTTTTGCTCCTTCAAACAGCAACCACTGCAACCACCACATGCTCTTCAGGTTATGAAATCGTCCGTTGTGATCACTCGCACCATGTTGTTTGGTTTGTTAGCCGCTGTTAGCCATTGTCTTGAAAATGAACCAACTGGCTTTGATCTTGTCATGCGAATGTTGCATCAGGTCAAATTGACCACCCCTTTCAGGGCGAAGGTATAGAAACAACATGAAACAACATGCTTATTTGAGGAACAAAATCAAAGCTTGAGTAAGGAAAGAAAGAAAGTAAACACCCCTGCATACAAGTTGTTTCGACTGTTTGTTTTTAAGCGCAGCCAACATGGCCAAAATAATATTATACTTGAAAGCAAATGCACTGCAAAAAAGACCATTGCCCAGAATTGCCCATTCAACTTGTTTCTTGTTTCCCAATATCGCAAAAGACTGGCAACTCCGAAGCAATTTCTATTTCCGGGTAAATGTGGAATTCTAGTGATGGGATTTTAAAAAAATAAACACACACAAGAGCTCAAATTTGAACACACAATATAGATTATTATCACATATCCAAATGTGAAAAAGGGTTGAATTTTGAGGGCAGTTCTTCCTGAGGAGGCCCCATCAACGAATCCAAAACATCTTGATCGAATTCACCAGCTTACTCCGTTTGGATCTTGAACGCTCTATACCATCTGTGCAGTCTGTGCAGAAACACAAGGCAAAAGCAGACCCGGTTCGAACTCAATGATTCTGCAATGAGTGTGCTCATGTCCAATCATGATGAAGCCATCGTTTCACAATACTCATTGCACTAACGCTGTCTCCACGGATAACGATATTCCGGCTGTTGACTTTCTTGAACACAGGATGTACTGTAACGAATGAAACAACATTGCTTAGGAAACAAATCGCTCCCACGTCCGGCGTACTTGGACATTGCAAATTTCATGATCGGAACAAGTTGGAACATGTTGCAATGTCCCGTGCATTTCACAATACTTAACAGTTTCCCCGGATTTCTGCATGGTGCCTGGTCATGAAAACGCGACGCCTTTTTACAAGCAAAAAGAATGCGCCTTTGAAAACTGTATACTGATTTTGATATATTTTGATTGCAGCCCAAATCTAGGCTGTAATTTGCCAACGAAGCCATTTGGGTGGTGTAATTTCACAACGTCAAATGTACGTGGGTAGTGAATTCTGTTCCACTATGATGCGTTTGAAGGCCAGGTCAAACAAGCAATAAAAATGCACCCCAGGACCTGATTTGATGTAGTTTGAAGTGGGATCTCACGTTGAAAACTCTTGTGGGACGCGAGCGGAACCACACAGCCGCAAAAAAAAAAGCTTGCTGCAATATATAATCGTCTTCCAGACTAACATGGTCCAATGCAATTTGAGTTTGTTCTTTGTCCTAATCGGACTAAAACTTGCGTTGGCAACCATTATGCGGGGATCGTAACTGATTTTGGTGGAGAAGGGACGAACCCAATTCCTTCAATCTACTGTAATTGCGCAAGATTCCCGTGATTTGTCGTTGTAACTAACTACTCCCTCGGTGACTAATTGCCCCAAATATTGGCTTGGAACTCGCGCGTGGAAATGACCATGCTGAACCATGTGGTTCTGGAGCGATATTGAGTTTGGTTCACAAGCCTCTTCAGTTTCCACAGGTTTTCGCCATGTGACCCATGAAAGGATGGTGCAGTGCTAATCCAAAAACCCTGAGGCCAGGCCAGACTGTTAGTCTAAGCCTGACAGGGCCTGACAATTGGACCACCGCAGTCTGCGGATCTTTTTACCCTCTTCCATTGCGTCGTAGCTCTGAGGCCGCTTGAAGCGCTCTCAACAGCCGCTTGCAGATCACAAAATAAAACTTCATCACTTCAAATTTGGAACACGGTGTGCATACAGTGCATACATATGTATCTATAGACAAATATATACACACAACATTTGCATGCATATTCTTACAGCTTCCATTCACGACATTCTACAAGACCTAAAATGCATTGAGATGGATTGAGTACAACTCCAAAACGATAGCTTGGTTGCCCTATGTTGACCTGCTATCTTGAATAGCCAGCTTCTCAAAGCTTGACTCACACTGACCGTTGACGTCTTTAGACTTTAGAATATCAAGGTCAGGAATTGAGACTGCCTCGAGGAAGCAAATTGAAGCAAAGGAAACGCAGGGCGCAAAGAGGTAGAAAGAGTCTTTGTCAAAATGCAATGCTTTCAGCCATTTCCGCAGGGCAACTTCCAGTCTGAGAAGTGAGTTGTTAATTTGCACCAGTCAAGACTCAATATGATCAAATTGGCCACAAACCTTGCAGGGGCATTAAACCGAGAGGAAAATGCCCCAGGCCGAAATGCCTTGCAAGACCAATTGAAGGTGGGCAAGCTCCTTAAGACCGTGCCTCAGTGTTCAACTAGAAAATGCGGCAGCAAATGCGGCAGCAAATGCGGTAGCAAATGCGGCGCAAACATGGAATGCAGCAGCTGGAAGGCATATTCTGTCTTGCCAGCCAATGTGCCCCAAAAGTCTGCTTTGCCATAACAGCCAAGCAAGCAATGGCATGTTTTATGTCAGAGAGGAACCTACTGCTAGGATACGGTATCTATGTTTTGTGGGAGACTGGCACTTCATAATGTCATAGTAGTATATACAGTGTAATGCCAATACTTACGACCAACTGGTGCAAAGCAGGCCAGTGGGATGCCGGAACCCCGTCTGGTGTTCCAGAACAGCACTATTCTATACTATTCCTACACGTGCAAGCTGAATTGGACTATCAGAGCTAGACATCCAGAGAACAGAAATCACAGAACCTCGGCAAAGATATTTTCAAGACATTTCAACACAACAAAATAGAATGCGAAGCAAAATGTCTTCACCACAGTGAAACTATGTGAAACTCTATTTCGAAGGGTGTTGTTTTCGCATTTCTGTTGATCTCCGACATGTTCTTGTGCTCCAAAGTCTTGTAAGATTGAACTTGAAAGTAATGTGTTCATGTCAGCATTCCCTTGTGCCCTTTTCACCAGTCTAAAATCTCTATCGATTTACCACAGACAGTATCAAATGGCAACCTCAAAATTCAAACCTGAATTCTGTGACATTATGTTCGATTGAACCTTGTAACATCAGCCTCAGGCTGCCAGACTGGGTGAATCAGATAATCATTCCATCCCAGTCTGAACTCATGTTCTGGAACAAAGCATAGTAACATAATAGTATCAGACTACTGTAGTAACATAGCACATAAGCGTACATAAGGCAGGTTTTGACCGCGCTTTAAGCTCGAGGCAAGTCTAATGGAGCTTTGCTACATGACGGTCTCTGCCACTTGACTCCTCCAGAATCAGGTTCACTGGGAAAATTGAGCTAAGCCCTTGCAAACTCAACAGGACAAAATACGCACTCTTTCAAGCAGTTTAGGTCAAAATATGTTTTCACTCAGCACATGCTCAAGTGGGCACCGATTGTTCCCCCACTCGTGCTCCTCTGTTGATGGCATTCTAGCACAGGTGTCTCTTGCCCGCCTGAATCGCACTTTATGGAGATTGTGAAGCCAAGACTGTCCTGTGTCTTTCCTTGTGGGAAAACCATTCTGAGTTTCACTAGCGATGCGGAGTGTACTGTGTGGAATAACATAAGTTTGTCATTGCACCTGCTAGCTCCTCAAGACCTTCACTAGATTCACCTCATCATGTATAGCTTGTAGCGCTTTGCAAGTTTGTCGATTGCCGAGAACCGCACAATAGGATGCAGTTTGAGTGCTGTCCTCACCTTGCAATCGATGCATGTGCGTGTGTAAAACTGCCTCATGGGGCTGTACAATTACCCTTTGGAATTGAACAAGGAATACTGGCACAATCTGTTCATCTTCAAAACATCAAGCTACACTTTACCGGACAGCATTGCGTTGTGCGTATGTTGCATGTCGCAGAAAAGCATGCCCGACACTCACTGTTTAGAATTGCTTCTCTCACTGTTAAAATCACTTCTCTCACTGACTTGTTGGCCCACCCTGACTCAGTTTTTTCTTCTGTCCTGCACTGGAAACCTTGAAAAACAAAGAGGCTCTTGAGCACTCCAACCCAGATGTTCCCTGCTTTTGGCTCTAATTTGTCCCAAGAGGCTCAGTTCACTGTCAGACCATCCACCCCCATTCACCCTCATCCACCCCCATTCACTCCGACAAACCCCAAAAAATCACGAAACCTGACCACCAAACCCCTTTCAATCATTCTGAAACCCTAAAAATCTCTGAACCCAAGCCACAGTGAGAAAAAGTACCAGCCAACTGCAGCTGGCTTCGCCGGCATCTTCACCAACTCTTGGAACCACACAAACTCTGACCGACTCTGACTCTGACCCAAGTTATCCCCCAAGCCCCAAGTTAAAGTTTAACCAAAATCACACCCTGAGGATGACCAAAATCAAGTTTGAAAGTCCCGGATGAGCTCGGCTGTGCTCTCCTGGCACAATAGGTTCGAGACAAGCCTTGCTTGCCACCCTGGGTTCGGGGACACTCGTTGACATGATTTGACATTGTTTAACGTCTACTCAACTTAACTAGCGTCCTCGAGCTAACACTAGTTTCCGCCAGCTTCCAGGACACCAAACATAGCTATGCATAGGCTATGCATACTTATGAATGTGCACCAAGGACACTTCAATGCAAGTGGATGATTTCCACGGGCTATGGGTCCTACAACCTTTTGACGTAACGGATAAACTGCCAATGTACATTGTCCTGTATGGTCTCAGAGAGTTTTTTTGTCCGCACAGAAACTTGTTGGGCAGTGCGTGTCCGAAACAAATTCGTTCCAGTATCAAATGAATAAACATAATTTGCTGGACTATTTGTCCAGATCGGGAACATTTAGGATCTGGCATTGTTCATGCCTATCCGACAAGTTTGATCTGGATGCTGAAGTAGCCCCGGGTACGAGACTTCTGAGGCTCAAACCAAAGCCCAGAAGCGAGCTGTGCTGGACTGCACATAAATAGCATCCCACAAATTTGATAGAAATCATCGCAAGACCCGTATAAATAGCTGATGGTTCTGCTGTGTCTGTCTCTCCGCCTGTGTTGAGTTGTTTTAACAAGGAATGTTGATGCCTCGGCGCAAAAGGATGCAGCGACGCTTGGAACCTTCTGTTTTCGAAGTAAAATAAGGAAAACTGCCTTACAGGACAAGGTATGTAAAATGGCAAAGGACTGGTTGGTGAACCGCAACGCAAAGTCTGAGGATGAGGCGTTGTCAGGATTTCAGCAAATTCATCTTTGGAAAATTCGTGTCTCTC